TCGCACAGCCTTCACGTGACCGTAGCACTAGAGCGTTTATATGTATTACACCCAGGCCTGTTGTACAGACCACTTTAGGTGGTTCCGACTCGTGGGCAGGTTTAGTTATTGTGATTGAGATCTGAGCTCTAGATGCAGCCGTACAGGTCACATTAGGTGACTCCGGCTGCCAGATTATATGTTATTGATGTGATTTATACCTGAGCACTTGCATTTCATTGTGAGATTTAGCATGGCATATTCTTGAGCATGATTGGCATATCTATATATACGTACATATGTTTATTTTCTGGGAAGTATACAGGTTTTATGGCGAGGGGTTAGAATCTTGATTTTGAAATGGTTTTCGAAAAGCTTTGTTTTTGCCCACTCACGCTTTTGTTTTGCGCCCCTCCAGGTTCTAACTGTTCAGTTGATTTGGTGGTTTCCCAGAGAGCTTTCCCGGCATTTCTGACAGACGATCACCAGCGTAGGGCCACCTTCGGGTGTACTGTTGTCGCGTCATTTTAGTTTGGACTGCTTTAGGCTTTCTGCTCTGAACTTGTGTCTCACTTACGCTAGCACTTATACTATTACCTTGTATGCTAGTTTTTATATATTCGTACTTCCTCTGTTACTATTTTATTAGCTTTCGCACTGTGCACATGGTTACGTCACTTCCACGTGATGGCCAGCATGCCCTGATCTCGATTGAGGCGTGTCAATATTATTATTATTATTCATGGTTTGAAAACTTTGACCTATGTCATTTTATTTACAAATAAGTAAATCGGATATCATTTAGTCATTTTCTTATTGTAATCAACTAATTAGACAAATCCAATATCTTTGATTATAAAATCAATTATTGAACTGTTATAAAAGTTTGAACAATTTTCCATTTGGTTCTTTTCTATCATGAAGCAATTGTAAGATAACGTTGAAAATAAACAGTCTCGATTATCATCCAACATTACATAATGAAAAGATAATTAAGTACATGACTGATAGAGAAATGTACAAATATGATAGGTAGGTTGGATACCCTAATTATGGATTGGGTTTACATTTCAATCATGCATGGAGTGTTGGAGACTTTAGACTAACGATTGGGTTAACTAGGAGTGAATCACCTGCCTTACGTTAGACATTGTTTCCTTGATTGCCTCATAACGCACGTGCTACTTGGCAAAGATCATAGGAAGATCATGCAAATCACATATAATTAGGAATTTAGCTAGGGTTGTGAGTGCATTTGGCTTTACAACTAGGGACAAGTTTCAAGAGACTCCTTGTTTCATAGATGCTGAGAGGCTTTTTCTCTTTTATTGTATTTGGAGACTCAAGGACCCCTCTCGGAAGCTCGCCTTGGACCCCAGAATCTCAGCGCCGGCCATGTGACCTTCTGGCTTGTGATTGCATATTTGACCTACCTAGTAAGCAGGTGGCAATATTGGTCCTAGGTTTTTAGGTACCAAGTCCAAATCTGATTGACATTTAGGAGTTTCATGAGTTGACTAGCCTAACACTTCACAGTTTTTCATCGTAATTTGGTCTTGTGTTTCTTCTGCCTCCACGAGTTTGAAGTTCCATCTTGATTAACTTCACAGTCACAGCATGAAACATAAATATTTGAATTATGCATCGATGTTTGCATCCTCGCACACAGACTCACGACTCACGACTCACCCCCTCCAAACCCTCAAGAACCCAACTTCTTCCTCTTCCGCGTTCAATTTTGTTGAAATTACACATTATATATATATATATATATATATATATATTCTTTTTTCTTTTTTTGTGATAAAAGGGGTTCAGCCCCTTACGCTTATTAAATTGCTGAAGAAGAAAAAGGTAGTGCAAAGACGGGGGACAAAAACCAAACTCTGGAAAAGCAACTATGGCAACAAAATCATCCGTAATTTTCCACTTTTGACAAACTCTAAATTTGTGAATTGTTTGGAAAGCTAACACCGAATGCGTAAAACAATGGCTCGGCAAAGCAACACTAGATGTTTCAGTTGAGTGCCACTGAACATGTTCAATATCGTTCGGCCAAGAGCCAAGCAGAGGGTACATCGGGGAGTGACGAGTTCAAGTAATACCCGGACATCTGATGCTTTTTTTATCACGCCTTTTGATCACTGCATTGTAGAACCTGCTGGAGCTCTCATTTGTGCAAGCGATCCACAACCCTTCAAAGCCTTTCAATACAAAGAGTTGTTTATCAACTATGCCATGAAGTCGAGTATTGTTTCATTTGAATTGTGGGCTGCAAAAACAAAGAAAAGCATGATTTTAGTGAAGGAGATTTTTTTTTTAATTTTTTTAATTTTTAAGATGCATGCCTGCAACGGTACCACCAAGTAGTATCACTACTAACCGAATTAATTTCAACATATGCAAAAATAATCTTAATTAGCTCCTTCATGTGTATATACTGGAGCCGATCATGTGAAATAACGAACAAAAATCGTTATTCATAACGATTAACTCCTCTTAGCTTCCATATATGTACAACAACAAAATTTTATCACTAGTAACATAACAATAGGATAATCTTTCACGATCAAAAATAAAAGGACAACCAAACAGAGAAAAATCAAATTAAACCCCTAAATACGTACACACATATATTAATCATGTAAAGCCAAATGGCATGATCATGCATCACTACACAGATCATGCCACTTGGGTTTACATGGTTAATAATATATATATATATATATATATATATATATATATAATCAGTGAACCAGCTAAAACGTCGTTATTTCTTTAATTGTTGGGGTTGTTGAACCTACTCGAGACATCTTGATAATTGAACCAGCTAAAACATACACTGCTTTGCAACAAACAAACACAAGGCCAATAGAAGACGTCTAAAGGCAAGTATTCAAGAAAAATTAAAGGGAGTGTGATGAGAATAGTAAGACTAATAATTATACTAGTGTGTGGTAAGTTATTTTTTGTTTTTTGTTTTTTTGTTTGGTGGAATGTGTGTGGTAAGTTTACATCTTCTATAATTATAATAAAATCATATAATTTTACATCTTCTTTAGATTTTGCACATTTTCTACTATAATTTATCAACAGTAGTATTATCAAAGGGATTTTCAAATTTTCTTTGCAACTTTGTCCTCTCATTTTTTTTGGGTCAAATAATAATTTTGTTAGATTAGATGTTAGATTAAAGAACTGATGAAATTCGAATTCACACAGTAATGTAAAGACAAAACTCATCTCCACTGCTATAGTAGAGGGCCACTTGCAACTTTGTCCTCTCTCATTCACTTCACCTTGTGAGACGACAACGTAAAGGAGACACGAACAAAATTATAAACATCAAAATCTCCCAGGTATTATGGATCATCACCAACTAGTTAATTCAATGAGCTGGCCTACCCCAAGAGGATGTTTCATGGGCTTCTCTTGATCTCCAGCCAGTCTAGTGCCGGCCCACTTTGGTTATTAAGCATCAGCTAGTAGGGTTTTCTTATTAAAATGTATAAAACCCCGGAAGGATTGAGTTTTAGAAATAAGATTGGATTGACAAAGATTAGTAATACAAGACTTGTAATCTATGTATAAGAATACGTTAGATAACCCATTTTATTGTAGATTCATAACTTATCATATTTAGTCTTGTCCATCTCACATTTTTATTCAACAAACAACAGACTAGACTCAAACCCATTTTAATTAATCGTAACTTATCTCATCCAATCCATCAAAGGAGGCCTTAAAGTTGCGCTTTTAACAGGGAGATGAAACGTTTTCTTTTATTTCCTTATGTTTTATGCAATCTTTCCTTTATTCTTCACGTGTCATTATCGTCTCAGATTTTCAATAAAATTTTTAACTGCTCTCGTTGAGTCACGTGTGATTATCCATTAAGAATCTCTACTCAAATTTCCAATAAGATTTTCAACTATTCACGTCAAGCCACGTGTCCATATCTGATCTTTATAAAGACCCAACCCACCACATCTACTCTCACAAGTCCCCCAATCCTCTCGGCTCATCTCAATTCTCACGTTTTCAAAGGCGAATAAAGTGAAATTTTACTGTTTATGCATGTTCTTAAGCTCAAAATTTCACTGTTAGGCTCTAAAGTGAAGAGAATTTTAAAGGAGTCTTAATGAAATACTTACGGTACTGTTCACTTTTAACATTAATAAATTTTTTACTTTAAAAAGGCACTTTCAGTATTATTTACTTACAACGCATTTTTATCATTTTGGTTAAAACTCCAAATTTTCAAAACATTTTCTTTAATTTTTCTAATTTTGAACCTACTCTCGGATATCAATCGCATTGATGATTTCCAAGTGAAGAAAACTGATCCATAATTTGGTGGCAGGAAGAATTTTGGTGGCAATCTAATGGCAGGCAGTACAAACATCGCATATTGCTCGGAAGATTCTATTTTTGTTGGGATCGGCTCTCGACTTGCGAGGTACTATGATGGGAGGATATGATCATAAATGTTCCAAAAGTTGTATACTATTTCGGAAAACTAATGTTGTACAATGAATGTCGATTACTGAGATCGGGTACCATGATTCATGACATAACCGTCCAAGTAATATTTGCAATTGTGATATGGAAAGCCCCACTGCGGAGGCAGTTGCTTATCGACTATATAAACATCACGTTAAGAAAAAAACTTTTTAGTTAAAATGGTTTCAGAAATTAGTATAACTCTTTCGTCTATTACCAATCATTTTGTCATTTGGTTCTTATTTAAATAACATTTTTCACGGAATAATCAAAATGATTGATGGTGAACAAAGTCAAAATCACTTTTATTGATTTGAAATCTCGTAACGAAGATAAATGACATAAGAACTCTCTCAAAAAATTTGAGACTCTCTGCCACCTCAAGAAAAAAAAAAAAACTAATAAAAAATGCTTGAAAACTTTAAATTTTAATGATAGTAGGATAGACTTTTTAGTATAAAAATATAATTTTTTGTTAGAATAAACCGTATCGGAACTTTTAAGGCTGTAATAAAAAACCCGGCAATAGGTAGTCATCGGGGTTGCGCGGGTTCATAGTTTCCCATCGTCGTTCTTTAGAAATTGAATTTTTTCAACGCATAGTAGGAGAGGAGAGAGCAGAGAGCAGAGTGGCAGTTGATGAAGGACCCCAGATCTCACCAATTCCTCCGATTTGGATTTCTACTATTACTATTACTAGCCGTTGCGACGCCCTCTCACGCCGAATCGTCGACGTGCTTGACGGTCTACAAACAAGGTGGCGCTCCGGCGGTCTTTCAATCCCCTAAATGCCCTCGCTGGACGCACTCCGAGTATGCTTCCTCCCACTCTCGAACCACCGCCTCCCGCTGCCAGGCCGCCACGCTTCAAGGCCGCCGGAAGTCTCTCGAGGATCGCACTCTCTGCGCTCTCGACGTACGCATTCCCTTCCCTGGTAAGCGCCCCAATCTCTCTCTCTCTCTCTAGCGTCTGTATTGTAAATTATGAATTTGGTTGGTTTTGTTGTGATTTGATCAATTCGTGCTATTGGGTTTTTCTTCTGATGTTTGGCATGTGAAATTGGGGCAGGGAAATTGGGGATTAAGGAGGTTACAGTGGGATTGTTGCTGTTTTTGATGGGCATAATGGGGATGAAGCTAGTGAAATGGCTTCAAGGCTTTTGCTGGAGTATTTCATTTTGCATACGTATTTTCTCATCGATGCATCGTACTCCGCTATCTTGACGAAAGCTTCAGGAAGTTTGCAGACTAGTACAGATCATCATTTTCTTTTCCAATGGTATAATTGGGATGGCCTACTCGATCGGCATGAATTGAATCTTGGAAGGTACATTTCAATCTAATTAGCCCCGTCTTTGTTATTTGGTTCTTGAAAAGAAGGATCTTTGGTTTTTAATTTTTTACTCAATTTCATGACGTGAAGCTTTTGATGTAAACCACTGAAATGCTTTCCACTGTTTTACGTGAATAACTTACATAGGCCAGTGAAGGAATAGATTGTTTTATGTTCCTTTATTTTTAGAGGTTTTCTGGACAAACCATTTTGGTACTTATCTCTGGTTGGTTAATGATTTCTCAGGTTTAAGCATTCATTCCAAGCAAATCTTGATGATTCTTTTCACTTTGAAATTTTGAAAGAAGCATTATTGAGGGCAATTCATGATATGGATGCAAAGTTTTCTAAGGTATGTTTTACATGATGTTGTTTGCCCAGCAATGCTCTATCTAATTGATCTTGTATTGATGGTCCTTATATTGATTATGAAGGAAGCATCCAGAAAGAACCTGGTTTCGGGCTCCACAGCCACAATTGTAATACTTGCTGATGGTCAAATATTAGTTGCAAATATTGGAGACTCAAAGGCGTTATTGTGCTCGGAAAAATTTCAATCTCATGCAGAGGCTAAAGGTCAGAAGGGTTTCTTAAATGCTGCTGTTTATTGTTTTAATGCACTTTTATTTTGAGTGAAAAATGGCATATTGAGACGTTTAATTTATGTTCTCTCTCTCTCTCTCTCTTTCTCTCTCTCAAATCAGTTCTTGTATGTCAGAGTAGGAGTGTGATTTACTATGGTACTGTTTAGTTTACATTTCACTATATAAGAACATGGCGGAGTTTATTTATTTTCTTGTACTTATGTTGCAGCCGCTTATTTAAGATTATACAGGCAGGAAAGACATAATGGTGCTCTTTCACGTCGAAGAAACAATAAAAACCTTGACTTGGCTTCCTCCACTGGAATGGTGCATTTTTCTGTTAAAGAATTGACAAGTGACCATCATCCTGACAGATACGATGAAAAATCACGTGTGGAAACTGCGGGTGGCTATGTTATTGAATGGGGTGGTGTGCCTCGAGTAAATGGTGAGCTGGCTATTTCCAGAGCTATTGGTGATGTCTCCTTTAAAAGGTGAGGTTCACAAGCAACAGAAAAATATGCAAAGTTTGCACTCTTTCTTTGTTGGAAGGAGCTTCTGATTTAGTTGTAGTAATTTGCATTCCGTGGTTTTTCATCTCATAGAAACCTGAATTACGTTTGCACGCAATTTAACATTTGCACTGGATTGTCATCAGTTATGGCGTCATATCTGCACCAGAGTTGACTGATTGGCAACCCCTAACTGTAAATGATACCTATCTTGTGGCGGCATCTGATGGAGTTTTTGAGAAGCTGAGCGTGCAGGACGTTTGTGATTTGTTGTGGGAAGTACGGAGTTATGATTCTGGGAGATCAGAGATCTCTTCCTCGTGTTCCTACTCATTAGCTGACTGCATAGTGAATACTGCATTTGAAAAAGGCAGTATGGATAACGTGGCAGCTGTTGTTGTTCCATTGGTATCTACTGGGATTTCTGGAAATCTATTCAAGGAAAGGTCAGTTGGAGAAGGAGACACAAATTATCCAGCATTAGGACTGCAGGAGTCCACCTATGAAGGCTCAGGTCCCTTATGCTTTTAAACCTTCTCTGGATATCAATCGCATTGATGATTTGGAATTCATTTGTAGGAGAACACAAATCAAATCTTATTTAGAACGTCATTAAATGGAATTCATTGTTCACATACACTTTTGGTGATTGTTAATTTCCTAATGTTTTCGTGATTACTTTTGTTCCCTTGATCAGCCAATGACTTCACATATGACCTAAAGCAATTGAAGTATGCTCATCCAGTTGTTGCCAAGTTTGACAGGTTATTGGTAAGCCTCGTCCTCTTTTCTCAACTGGAGGGGTTGTAATTGAAGTATGCTCATCCAGGTTTTGACTGTTTTTCTTACTCTAGGTAAAAGGAAAACATGGCTATGTTGGCTGTTTCTATCTATCTGAGAACCTTGATGAACATGCAGAGTACATGTTGCAAGAGAAGGATGAGCATGAATATTTTGTGTATGACCTGCCTCAGGCTCTCCCTGAGGCCCTTGACCAACAGTTTGGTAAGTGAACAGTGTCAACACAAACTTAGCTCCACATCAGTGATCAAATTTTACTGAGCCTTAATAACTTGCAATGGCTTCTACTTGGATGGGAAGCCTGCGAAGTTTTTCTAAAACCTGTTTTTGTTTTAATTTTTAATCTAAACATCTCTCGTCTTTCTTCATTATTATTATGATTATTATGTTGGCTAGGTTTACACACAAATAAGCACTTCAACATGCTAGCATACGTGATACAGATTCCTGATGTACTGTATCCTGATGTACCGTCGACTAAGAATGTTGTATAAACTTTAGTGCAAATTGCATCAATTATACAGACCCACTTGAATGTTTCCTTTTTGTTTTAGGTGGACGTCTAAATTTGTACCATGACCAGAATTTTTGCACGTACCTTGGAATTACTGTTGACAATGCTAAAGATCAATGCACAAATCCTGAAGGCTTTGCAAGTTTTCTTGCATTGCTTGAATCAGTTCCTTTCCTTGATGCTGGTTCAGCTAATGGATCTGAATATTCAATGCCTGACAGCAGGTAAAGATGCTTTGTCTACTTGAATGTCTCTGTGCGTGACCTTTGTCAAATAGTTCTGAACACTAACATGTGGTGACTTCGACATAAGAGATTCATCTTGATACCATCATTTGTATGTGTGTAAGTAGTTCACCTGATCTGTATTACAAAATACAACTGCTAAATCGTTAAGCAGCCACAATCTACGTATTAATAGATTTTGTGAAGCACTTGAAAAATGGTACGAATATGAATATGGAAATATTGTGAGTATTATTTAGGAGTATCTTGATCTCTTTGACATCATGCATACTTACACAAACTATGAAAGAGATACGAAGGGGTCCAGAATAGCAGTACCATTCGGAAAACCATTTTTATGATTGTTAGGATTTTATTCAGAGAATAATGAAATTCTTGTTCTGTAGTCTAGAATAATCATACTTTATGTGCATATATCAGAATTGATGGTGTGGAATAAAAAGTAAGGCAGAGTTTGCTTTGAAAATCATTTGTAGTGTTGTATATGTTCTGCATTTATGCTTATGTTATCCTTTTAAACCTTGGTATTCTCCCATTTATGCATTGAAACGTATCTTACTGGCTTTTAGAACAGACATTTAAGAAACATTATCCTTATTGCCTGTCAGGTATGTACTAAAGAAGAGGTTTGGTCGTGGATCATATGGTGAAGTGTGGCTGGCTTTTAATTGGAACTGTCATCAAGGCAACAACACTTCAAATTCAAGTGAGAAAAATAAGAGCATCTCATTTAGTTATTTATTTATTTATTTTTGTCTTTTTGACTTTCATATCAAAGATAATAGCTGATTGGCTCATAATTGCTATGCAGGCCTTCCTGATGAAAACTTGCTCATTTTAAAACGTATAATGGTAATTATTTGATCAATTAAGTTTTGTGACAAAAAAATTGATTTATTATTGTAAAAATTCAGCATTCATGTTGCGATAGTAATGACATTCTAGCTTTTGATTGTGAACATATTGCCTATTCTTTTCCCGTAGTTGGTCTAATTTCATTTTTATTCTTGAAAATGTTTTATTGTTGACAAATCTTTATATGCATGTATCAGAATATTCAATGAAGTTCGTCTTCTTACTGCGCTTGTGCTGAAAAGCAGTGTTAAGACTATAATTCTTCTCTACTTATTGATACTTTCAGTTTTCTTATGGAATTCAAAGAATTATTTACATTCTCACTATTTGTTTCCTCTTTTGACTCATAAAGTAAATGCTTGAAGTTTCAAAATTTTCTGGCATTTACTTGTCAAATATGTTTTAAAGATTTAAAGTTTCTGGAATTTTATTTTTAAGAATGAGTGGTTGATAATTGTAACAGGTGGAGAGAGGGGCTGCTGTTTACTTAAGTGGTTTACGGGAAAAATATTTCGGTGAAATTTTTCTAAATGCCTCTAGTCGTCTTGGAGGTTCTCTATCAGCTGGAACATCAACCTCTGTCTTGAATGAATCATGGTTTGATTTCTATGGCTTGTTAGAGACAACTGATTCAATGACGTATGGAAGCAGAAACAGTTGGACTTTTGAAAAATTGTTCCAGGACAGATTTAGACTGCATGGAGATTTCTATGAAGAAGGGTTGAACCATATTGCTAGATATGTAGAGTCTTTTGAATCTCAAGCAAATGAAATATGGCTTGTATTTCATTATGAGGGCGTGTCTTTATCGAAGATTATGTATACTGTGGAAGAAGATACTAATGCTGATGAAAGAGCTGAAAAAGTGAACCATGTCCAGATGCTGCGTCCATCAAAGTGGTGGCATTGGTTGAAGACAACAGAAGCAGGAAAGGAGCAAATGCGCAGTCTTATATGGCAATTGGTGTGTCATGTCTTTAATTTTCATTGAATTTTTTTTTATGCTCCGTCATTACTGATTTACATATTGCTATCTTATATCATTGAGAAGTTTTCTATCTACAAAACATCAAATTACTAGTTAATCTAGTTCAGAAGATTTCTTTTTGTCGAACTGCTTCTGGGGTGTCAGTGTTTTGAACTTTGTCAAGTATGCTAGCTTTAATACAAGTACGTGCTTCGTGACTATCCCTACGCCTATGGAGTTGTCTAGTATAACTTAGACTGGTGAATCTTTCTTGCTTTTATTGGTATTTAAACTGACTTTGTTTGAAAAAAAAATCATGCTGGAAGTTTTCATGAGTTTCTTTTCAGTCTTATTATGGGATCACATATATTCATTTTTCTGCTCTTGTGGCTTTAGACCAATGCATTTATTTTAATACTTGATCTTTTTCATTTTGGCCAGTTGATGGCGTTGAAGTCCTGTCATGACCGTAATATTACCCATAGAGATATCAAACCTGGTGAGTTCATCGGTGTCATGTTATACTACACCTTAGTTATATATTGTGAAAACATACGTATAATAGTTTTGAAAAGGAAATTAATTGGCTAGAGCTGGTTGTACTTGTCTTAGCATTGTCTTTTTATTCTTGTTGGCCAATAGAAATATTATTTTAAGAGTATTTGGGAGGTAGTCAGACAAATTTAAATATCGAATAAGATGCACCTTTAAATCTACAATTTATTTTGAACCTTTCAAGTCATACAGGATCCAATGGTATTTTCATTATGTCAGTGAAACTGAAACATATGCTAGTAGCTCTTTGTCTACAAAATCCGGCTTATAGAAGCTAGATCTTTCGCATTAATTGCCTACTTGAATTTTCTTATGTTTTGTAGAGAATATGGTGTTATGCTTTGAAGAGCAGAACACGGGGAGATGCCTGAAAGGAATTCCAAATGGCCACAATTTCACCACCAAAATGTAGGATCACCTTACTATTTGGAGTATATAACTTGATATATTATAAAGGTAATGCTTTTGATTTGAGTGTGCTAGTAACTTGATGTCTTCTTGATAAATCATTTAGGCGCATTATTGACTTTGGCAGTGCACTGGATGAGTTCACTTTAAAGCATTTGTATGGTTCTACTGGACCATCCAGGTATCTATTGTACTGTGGGAATTATCTGTCCATTAATCAAAATTGTAACGAGTTTATGATGGATATATTGATTTTTGTGTTTCTCTAGAGTTGAACAGACTAATGAATATACTCCTCCGGAAGCCTTGCTTTATTCTAATTGGTACCGGAAGTCCACCAACACAACATTGAAGTAAGTTGAAATATTAGTAAATTAGTTCTTTATCTACATTCGTGAAAGAAATTGATCTTATGTACTAACGATAGATGTGCATCTTACCTCATATCTGTTGCACAGGTACGATATGTGGAGTGTTGGTGTTGTGATGTTAGAGTTGATTTTAGGATCACCGAATGTTTTCCAGATTAGTGATTACACACGCATTCTTTTAGACCAGCATCTACAGGGATGGAATGAGGGCTTAAAGGAGCTTGCCTACAAGTGAGTTTAAGGCAATGTTACTTACATCTTTAATCGTGGGAAATAAACATTTGGATCGGATCTCTTTCATAGACTCTGTTTTGTTATAACCGTCCATGACATGCTTTGGGCCTTTGGCTATGCTGTTGCCAAACTTGAGCTCCATTTATATTTAGGCTTACATTTTTTGGTTGACAGACTTAGATCATTCATGGAGTTGTGCATCTTAATCCCTGGGAGTTCCTTACGACATCACCAAACCGAGGGCCAGGTGAGTTTACCATCTGTTATTGCTACTTGGTTTTGGGATTGTGACATTAGGACAACATACTCTCTAATTTCATTTTTGGCTAATTTGTTTTCACTTTTGCGACCAGGCTCGAGGATCACCAGCTTCTTGGAAATGCTCAGAAGAATTTTTCTCTCATCAAATAAAGAGTAGAGATCCGCTTAAACTAGGGTCCGTAACTGGTTGTATCTATTTTATTTATCAGAATAATTTACGTGGTACAATTCGTGTTGGATATCATGTTGCATACTTGTTGAAACTGCAGGTTTCCAAATGTTTGGGCTATGAGGTTGGTGCGCCAGCTATTACTCTGGGAGCCTGTAAGTTATATCTATTAGTTTTCTTCTCTCTTTAGGGCATCACAAGTTTCCTAGGTGAACTTGTTAAACTTAGTGTCTGTTACTATGTGGTTATCTTGTAAACTCCCGCATCGCTTTAGTAAATGTGATGGTTGAAACATTTGAACTACCAGGAGGAGCGGTTGAGCGTTGACGAAGCTTTGCAACATCCATATTTCCAGCCCCCTCCCAGGGAATGAGTTCATTGGACAAATACGAATATGTACATCGTTCACCTACTGATTTTCCTCCGAGGGGTACATTGCTTCGTCAGTGTTGGTGAATCAGCTGATACCTGCCATTTTGGCGGACGCAGCATCTGCACGTGCTTTCATCTTATCAACTGTTTCTTCGTCAGCACTCGTTTCTTGCTCGGAAGTGTACATAAGTTTGACAGAACGCGAGCAGAATGAACACAAGCTCTGTTTGCTTAATGGAAATTTGGAAGATTGCACATACGTAGCATATCCTCGAAGGGAATCTGTGCCTCACTTGCCGATGAAGTTTGTTAAATGAGCATTTGGTGTTAAGATCATTTAGATGTATAGTTTAATATAATTTAGTTTAATCAAGGAGCTCGTTTGATGAAAATATTTTCGGAACCAAATCCGTAGTAAAATTGCAAGTGAATCTTGAAAAAGCACTTGAAGTGCTTCCTCCAAGAAGCATATAATTGGTGGTTCTTGCAGGAAGCACGTCAAGTGCTTTTGCGTCATCAAGTGCTTTTGGAACGCAAAAATATTATCTCTAAAAAAAGGGTTGATATTTATGATAAGTCGGATTATTACAAGTTTAGTTAACAAAATATGAACGATTGGTATTATCGCATGTGAAGATGAAAGCCTTGTCTATTGCTTTCAGGTTTAGGTCTACGGTTGCCAGAGAGTGCGCCCGTTACATGGCCGGATGTCGAACATACACCCATTACTCACATTGTAAAATGATCCCTTCGTAGTGAAACGGAGATGACAAAGTGGCAGTGTTCCAACTTATCATGAATGGTCATGTGTTCAACGTTTCACATGAAGTCGTATAATTGGTTTGAAACACCGTCATCTTGGAGTCTTCTGTGGGATTGTATGTCTAGGCTGCATTATTTTATATTTTTCCCTAACCCGCGCCCAACCGCGCAACTGGTGAACGCGGTGGAGGCCGGTGAAGTTGGTGACAGCAGTAGGCAAAGAAAACGAGAAAAACATGGGGGGTAACAATGCAATTAATGGATTATATATTGCCAAACGCATAAATTACAAAATTTTGACCTATAAAAAAATAGAAGAGATATGACATCGGAGGTAACACACATATACTTTGCTAGTGTACACAACAATGCGCTGGTTCATGGTTCATGGCTGTTTACACGGCTATGAAGCTCCAGCATCTCTTGATGGTTCGGATCGACAGAGAGAGCGGCTCGACAGTCTCGCAAAGCACCCACGACGTCTCCAACGTGCTCATGGAATGCCGCCCGTAAGTGCAGAAGGTGGAGGTCGGCTTTGAATGCAATTGCCCTTGATAGTTCTGCAATGGCCTCTGCTTCTTTGTGGCTATCCATTAACACTGTTCCCATCAAGAACACGAAACTCTGTTTCATACAATTTGAAATGAAACTTTGACGATAATAATGTACGAGTGTTGAAGAAGAAATGAAAAATCGAACCTGCAGCTCTATATCTGTAAGGGTACACCCGAAGTGGATCTAAGCGGGTGACCATCTCCAGATCAGTCTTTGTGAGTTCGCGATCACAGTATTCGGACCTCTTCTCATAGGCAGATGCATTGTTCCGGGCCTTCTCAATCAGTTTGCTCATTTCCTCATATGCAGCAGACTTGTCATCTCTGAGAAAATGAACCCGAGCAAGGCCCTGGTGTGCTCGGGTATGCCTGATCTTTAGAGCATTTATGTAGCAATCAGCTGCCAAGTCTAACTTCCCACGATCAACATAAACACTTCCAAGGTTGTTGAGTGCCTGGTAAATGAAAAATTGAAGGGTCCATAGAAAGGTTGGAACATGCTGAGACTAGCAGTCGATCCCAGCAGGAATTAGGGTTAGGAAGATTTTCATGATTTGGTTGAAAAATACTTACTTGACCTTTACGCAACCTGTCAGATGGGCACTTCAAGGCATCTTCGAGGAGGGATACAACAGTCGATGAAGAGGATGGATCCTGGCTAGAGTCTGCCAGTGCATAGGCTTTCAAAAAGAAAGCCTCAAAGGATCTTTTAATTCTGATAGATTCCTCTGCTTTCCGGAGCCCTTCCTCACAATGGCCTGTATCGTATAAGATCCACCCCTCATAAACCAACTTTTCATCATCGCTGGATGCATGTTGACGAGCTAATTGTAAACTTTGCATTGCTGCTTCGGGACAGTTCAACCTGATCAAGTGGAGACATGAGATTTCTACTGACATTTTCAGAACCAAAAAGGTTTCTTGCTCAAAAATTGAATCTTAAGGTTTGACACAGGCGGGGTAATAGTATTCAGGATATACCATTAACTTTTGGGTAAAACATAACCAACAAAAAATTGAACCTATCAAAATAAAAGGAACTATATCACAATCTCCACAAATGTTCGGATCCAAAACATACCTGAGAAGAAGCAATGACTGTCTGAAATACAGAACACCTTTTGCTGCATCAGATTCAAGCATCTGGTAAATAACTGAGAGGGATCCAATATCATCGACTGAAGACCAACGATTGTACAATTGCAGCCAACAATCTGCTGTTGTCCAATTTTCTACATGCTCACGCACAAGTGTGCGAAATTGGGATGCTGCCACCCGTCCCTCAAACATTCTGTAATCCGGGGAGAGAGTCAGAATTGCTTGAACATCACAAATGGCTGATTTATAGTCCTCAAGAGCAAGATAGAAACAAAACCGGAGTTCCAAGCATTCTAATGCAAGTTTAAACCCCAGAACCCAATTAATTTCTGCAAGTGCAGCTTGAACATTCTGGTTTCTCATTAATGTAGCCGCACGATACATGTAAGGGTAAGTAAGAGTTGGATCCAGCTCAGATGCTTTCTCAAGGTCTTCCCATCTCTTATCACCTTCACAGTACAAGGACCTCTCCTGATACATCCATCCAAGCGGTGTAACAGGCGCAGATTACAGAGCTAAGCTTTTCATATGACCAAAGTTTATGGCCCTTAATGTAACTCAGTCTCGCTAATCCTGCTACTGAGTATATATGGCCTGCATTTAAAGCTTCTTCAAAAAGGCGTTTAGCTTCATCATACTGTTTTCTCAAGAGCCTCAGGCATCCCAACTGATGGAATGCCAGCATTCTTTGTCTATCATTTTCAGAAAACTCTACCAATCGTTCCAGGAAACAAGCTGTTTTATCCAACTGTAGATCAAGGTTCATACAAACTTCACTTAATAAACAGTATAGCGAAAACGAGGCTTGCCCAACCATGATCGATCTCTGTTGTCTATCAGCATGCCTGAATATATCCACCACTCGGTTGTCATTCAAACAATCAGGAAGATCATTTAAGAAAACTTGTAAACATGATGCAGCAAGGACAGGACAGTTCTCTTCAAGAGCATATGCCATGAGTTCTACCGCATCCTCTCTAGAAGACACAAAGGATGCAAGTTTCCGGTCGCAAGCATCTTTAAGCTTTTCGCAACAAAATTTATTTGCAAAAACTAATATTTCCAACAAAAGATGAGTGGGGACTTCATTCAAACTGCCTGTCGTACTGAACTCAATGATTGTCCTCATACCTGATGCACTGATATTGTTTTGTGACAAATCTATGTCCTCGCGAAGTGATTCCGAGAAACACCCATTAAGCATGGCATGAAATGGAGCAGAAAGGCTTGATATTTTCTGCCTATCACAGTCTACTTTCTCATCTTGTATTCGAAAACTGACATTTCTTGGTATTTCATTCCCATTTATCGAAATATTCTCATGTGTACGACTTACAGTTGCATCAATAGGAAGCTGAGTCAAAATATCTACTGGCCCAAATTCTTGTGCACATTTATCACAACTGGCAAGCAAGTCGGAACTATGCTCTTCCCCTTGCATCTCATACTTCAACCATGCTCCAAATATGAGCTTCTCATGAATGGAGTTAGCTTTCTGCCAAGCTGCACGAAGGCTTCTTCGCATCAGCTTGACTTCTCCGAGGCCCCTAAAGACCTGGAATTGTAACAGGTAAAGATTCGACTGTTCCTGTGGAGGACACAACTCAAGTTCTTCATGAATTTGAGCTAAAACTTTGACATAATCAACAGGTTTATAGAACGGGAGTATTGGCGGCTCGGGGACCTTGATAAGAGATTCTCTACAGTAATTTGCACATACACACCAAAATATAACATGGAAATCAAAATTGTGAATTGGGAAGTAAATATCAAAAATAATTATTGAAACTAAAGCAATTACGAAGAATGACTTACATAGAAGAAGAGGAGGAGTTTAATGGAAGCTTGGAAAGCTTCCCTCTTTCCACCTGGAGCCATGACAGTGGATTGAGGGCATTAACCTGTGATTCTTTACCAGACTCAGAGGGAAAGAAAGTCCTCATGGGGCATAAGACCCTAAGTAAATCCCAGATCTCCAAATTACCCAGATGGGTTTCTCTCTCTAAAAACTCAAAAGTTCAAGTTTCTATCTCTAAAAACTCAAAGTTCAAGCACAACAGAGAATGGGGAAACGAGAAAACAAAACCCAAGAAAAATTCCAAGTGATCCCAAATCACTTGGCTGACAGACTTCCCACCAATGAACCTAAATTCCAAATCCCACAAAAAATTCAAGAATTACAAGCAGACAATAATGTCCGAGTTGGACCTATTTCAACGTTTTCAAATTAAAACAAACCCAATTCACCAAACAAAAAAAAAAAAAAAAAAAATTCTGGGTTTTATTCATTCAACAAAAAAGATGAAAATTTTCTCTCTTTTTTTTCAATTTACAACAAAAATGATTACTTCCCCCCTCCTCTCAGTGTACGAAGCAGATAAAAGAAAAGAAAAACCCCAGAAAAGAACAAGCACCCACCAAAGAATTAAGCAAGGTCTCTACCAGTGAGAGAGGAAAGAAAAAGAGACTCACTTCACTTATGGCTTGAATTTTTGCAGAGAAGTTTGTCACAGATTACAACAAGCTGAGAGGAGCTTCAGAGAGGCATGGGACCGACCAGCTACCAAGTGAAAGGAATTCAAATGAAAAAAATCTGTCCAAGTATCACTCTTTTCCCCTACATTTTTGCTTGTTAAAAGAGTCTTTTCCTTTTACTTTTTTTTCTTATAGGTAATTTCCAGCAACGTGGAATTTGAAATTAAATAATATCAAAAAATTTGAATTATGAAAGTCACAAAAATATTAAACTTAAGACTGAAACGAAAAAAAGAATGTAATTAACTGCTAATTTAGCAAAACTTGAGGGTAGTAAGATAAAAATCATCCCTTTTCTTCTTTTTTTTATTCTCATTTTTCTCTCCCTTGGAGATGAGAAATAATATTAAGACGGAAGTTTGATTTTGGTCTCGTAGTTTTGCGAAGTCTCACTTATTCATATGGTTTTATTGTCGGAATTTTAATTTTTTTAATTTAAGATAAATATATAACTCAATCACAATATTATTTATATGAAATTAGCACGCGAGAGGCAATGTGTGTGGTATTTTTCATCTATCTTCAAACATGCCGCTCACGAATTAATTATGCAGGCAACTAAACTATTTTTGTGAAAGCAACAATTAGTAAATAATGAAATTCACTAAATTTTCGAATAAAGTCATGATTTGGCCTGATAATTATACAGATTGTTTGTTCAGGCTGCAAAACCTAATGGGAATCAAATAAACAAATAATGTTTATAATTACACACTACTTAGAGGGAAGATAAGGCCAAGTTGGACTTTATGCAAGCCAATACGATGTCATTTTAGCGTGGAGAAGCCTAACTCTATCGTTTTGGCAGATTTGTTCGGTTTATTTCATATTACATCAATAATTGTCTTTCGAGTATTCATATATATATATATATATATATATTTTTTTTTTTTTTTTTGGAAAAAAAAAGGGGGGGGGGGGTTGTCCTCCCAATTTATTCAAAATTATGCTGAATATAAATTAAAGAATATGGAGGATTTGTGTACATCACTCAGACTAGAGACAATATTATGTATATATTTTGCTTGAAAATGTTATTTGTACAAAAAATTTAACAAAATAGGTTTCCCAATTTGACGTGAAGGAGTCGTTTGAAAAATGTTTTTAAATTACTGAAATCATTTTTTAATATAATAATTTTTAGTTTCTAAGCACTTGAAGTGCTTATAGCAAGAAGCACCAATTATGTACTTCTTGTAAAAAATACTAGTTATGTGCTGCATTGTTTTGCTTACTCTCCACTTAAAGGCTTTAAGCTGCATTGTTTCAAACCTTAGCAAAACGAAAGAAATTAATGGGAGCAATTGTATGAGTGTTCAGATGCAAGATTACTCTCTTGATCATGGCCTAGAGAAAGTGCCAAGGAGATCAAATCCCTCGTTAACTAAGAAGGTGTCACAAGGAAGATGCAGGAAGAGGAGGGCATAGGCTTTTTAACGGGTGAAGTCACACAAAGATAAGTACTAGTTAAAGTGAATAGTAAGGGCAAGTTACTGCCTTGCCCTCCCTAAACTGATGGAGTTGCTCCTACGCACAACAGAACTGAACTCTTTTCTAGCTTCAAAATCTCGGAAAAATAAGTTGATGAGATGACCGGAATGACCCTGGGAACATTCGCTCCTGTCAATATCATCTTTGTTGTGGGACACATAAATCGGAATGAGATTGGAAGTAGGGACACCTTTACTTAAGAAAAACTAACCTTCACTCAAATTTCCGAGATGAATGTGAATCATTCTAGTTTGAATTCTGAGGTACATCTCCAAATTCAAGTTTCAAAAAAGTTATTATTACGAAGTACTTGAAGATATCCTCATCGTGATTAACATATAATAACATATTAACTCAGTTTCATCAACTTATACACCAAATTAACATGATGAGTCTATTTTTAATTCATACTTAATATGTCAATATATTATAGCATAAAAACCGCTTAATATGACCAAAAAATAAATAATCTATAGCTATTAATTGATATTTCTAGTTTTAATCAGTGCGACACATAAAACACATCATGCGCATTACACAACTAATCTATATACCGTTGTATGCATAAAGAAATATATTCTTTTTATATGGTACATTTTGTCCTAACAAAGATAATGAGAGTGTCTTTTATTTGTGGTGAGTTCTAGAGCTTGGAGTCGTTTCATCGTGTGCCATTGTAATGGGAACGAAGACTATGAGCCCAACAACAATTCACATACTCGATAGTTGCTTTGATCAATTATTTTCTACTAAAGTACTATTTTCAGTGTGAAAAGAAACCCATTTTCTAAGATCCTATTTTATTTTCAGAATTGTCATGATGCATAAACTTCGTGCAACTTTCAGTACTCCTCTCAGGCTTCTAAACTTTTGAAGTGGTAATTTTAATGTTTAATAATCTCTAATCGATCCTCGGAGAAAAGAAAAGAAAAGAAAAGAAGAGGGTATATCTTCCTTAATTTACGAATCGGTGTAAAACAAAGTATATCCTTGCTTTGGTGGATGAGCATACAAAGATCACTGTATTTCACTTATAAACCTCAATTGTTCAACCTCTTACGTTACAGAAATCATATGATTAGGAAGAAAAAATTACATGACAATGGAAAAGAAAATATAACTCCACTCGTAGAAAAAAAAATTACAAAATGACTTAAAACGTGACGCAACTTAAGAATAATAAAATATAAAAACTGAATTGACTGATGAATGTCAAACAAAGTATACGAAGCACAAATTCCAACCAATTGACAACTAAAGCAAAACATGCAAATTGAAATCAAAGTATCCATGTTTTTGTAACTCAAGTTTACCTCCCCATGTAAATAGCGGCTCTTGAAGTTGTAATTAAAGAGGAGTTATCCTGTAGCTCCGTTGTGGTACCTTCTTATAAGTAGCCCAAATCAGATCAACGTACAGTGGAAACTGCGCCATGGCAAAAAACGTTACTGGCAAACAAGTGATTGCGTAAACCGGAAATGCAGCGTATTTGAGCTTATCTTTAAGCACGAAAAAATGTCCGGCACAAAACGAAACCAACATGGAAGCTATTGACACGAACAGTGACGTGAGCCCTACCAAAAGCTTTCTTGGCAGGTCCTTACCGAAGTCCTTCTCTTGGTACCGGGACGTTAAGATGGCTAGGAACATGACCATGGCCGTGACGGAGAAGCAGAGGGCAACCAGGGAGGCAATGGCAAAGATGTCGAAAGCTGGCTGGTTTTCTAAGGTTGGTGTTCCGCTTTCTTCTTTGATGCCGCCGGGGACGGTGGTTGAGGTGGCGAAGGCAACGGTGGCAATGAGGGCAGCCACGACAGAGCAGGACTCGGAGGTGTTGGTCAGCCACTCCCCTCCGGCCTTGACGATTGTGGTGTGGGTTTCGGTGAAGATTTCCTTTGCTGTCCTGCCCTTCTCGTTATGGCGGGCAAAGAAGTGTAGTGGCATGGAGGTTTTTACAAACTACAAATTAGGAAATAAATTGCTTAAAATCGGGAATTTGATTTTTTAACTATTAATTTACGAGAAAATCAGAGGCAGTGGCCCATGAATTATAAATCCTTAAGAATTAATCTCTAAATTTGTCATATTGTGGAGCAACTATTCTTTTGGGTAACTTAGGCCATGTCCAATGAAGAGGGTTAAAAGTTCAAAAGCTAAAAAATGATCTGATTTGTTCAAAAATCGATCTCCAACCGATGACTGAGCTATAATTGTATGGAGTCCATTAGGCCATTATATGACCAAATGGGCATTAGGCTGGTTAAATGTAGCCCCACTCTTAGCTTTATTGGGGCTCAGCTCCTTAGTTGTAATAATTGATTTAAATTCTACGATTAGATATAAATTAGAGTTAGATGCCTCATTTTAGATTTTTTTTTTAAATTAAACATCTGTTACTTTTCAACTTTTGATTAAAGTGCTTTTACTTTTAATTAAACTTTATATTCCAGGTATATTCTTAATTTAAGTATTTTATAAATTCTTTTAAATCCATTTCTATGTAAAAAAAAAAAAAAACACTCAATAATATTCATTAATTTATTGCTATTTTTATGGAATCTCATCCCTTTTTGCAATTTAAGGATTCAATTATATCTACTGGGGTTCAAGATTAATTGGATGAAATATAGTTTTTCAATTTCCAACTCAACATTTTATATAGATTATAAAAAAAACAAGAGTTCATTTATAATTAAAATTGAGATGTAGACTAGACTGCCTAATTTCATGCAACTGAAAATAAATTTGAATTTTTTAACAACTACTTATTGTAGAAACATGAACAAAGAGTTTTCACATTTTAATTTTTATTTAAAATGAGTCCTTATTCCAATTATTAATTATTAAGAGTTGACAAAATATTTTTAGTGCAATGTTTTAATGTGAAAAGTTATCTTTTTTTTTTGGGTTACACAACTTACACATAACGTACCATAAGTTTTGTATGTACCAAACTAAGGATAATACAACGTACTAATAACTTGGTACGTACTAAATAAAGAATTGCATAACTTACCAAAAGCAATATTTTATAACGTACCAAAATACTAATACGTACCTATATTAAATTTATATAACGTACCAATAACGTACCATTGGTACGTTATATTTAATATATCTGTTTGGTACGTTATATTTAAAATATGTGCATGTTATATTTCATAATTGTATGTTAATAGGATGTTTATGTGTTTTTAGAATTTAAAACAACAAATTATTTGAATAAGAAAAATTCATTTTGAACGAATTATGATAAGATAAGATAGGATGTTTGTGGTGATTTTAGAATATTTGTGATATTATTTTCTGAACAAGTTGGTTAATTAAATACAATAAAAATCATAATTTTTAATTAAAAATTAGGAGAAGAATGTTTGATCAAAAGTTTAAAAGTTATAGATGTTTGATTAAAAAAAAAAAAATCAAATTTGAGGCATCTATATCAAAATGCCCCATTTGAAAACATCTAACGGTAATTTAACTTAATTGATTAATAAAACTTAAAGTATAAACTTAAAACTAATAAATTATTGAAAGAGCTATGTTTAGCCCTTCAGTTGGAGATGGTATATGAGTATAGCCAGACATTGTTTATTTAAAAATAATTTTTGCAAGGCTGTAATTTTGGACGGAGCTATGTTTAACCCTTTCGGTTGAGATGGCCTTAGTTACTAACTTATGTCCCTTATTTGTTCCTTAAAATCTTTTATTTGGATGAAAATTTAAATAGTGTTTCTCTAAAGGGGCTTGACATTGTGACAAATTCAGGGACCAATAATTACCAATTTTTAGTTTCAAGATCAAGGGTCCAATCAAGTCAGAATAGGGACGAGTGCTCAAATTCTCTTAATTTATTATCATTTTAATCACTTTTCTTTGCCTGAATGAAATTATTCCAATTCTTTCATTTATAGTTTATTCACTTATCTATAATTATTTTGGGGAAATTTTGAAAACTAGTAAAGTTGTAGACATATATATTTAAGAGCCTCAAGAACTGTTCAAGGGGCCTTTTAGTGTGACTATATTTCTAAATTTTGTAAAAAGAAGACCTTAAAATGTCTAATATTAGTAAAAATGTTCTCCAAATTCCGAATATATATATATATGCACTATCTTAATTTTTACCAAGAATGCAGCTATTTTTAGTTGTCACATCCCGGCCTGGGCCCCCACCACATCCCGGACTCGACTTCACCATAGCACGATATTGTCCGCTTTGGGCCCTGACCACGCCTTCACGGTTTTGTTTCTGGGAACTCATACAAGAACTTCTCAGTGAGTCACCCATCCTAGGATTTCTCTCGCGCAAACTCGCTTAACTTCGGAATTCCTACGGAACCCGAAACCAGTGAGCTCCCAAAAAGTCTCGTGCTAGGTAGAGATGGGAATATATATATAAGGTTTAGAGGATCCACTCCCCTGGGCGATGTGGGATGTTACATTAGTGCTATGGTCTAGTGATATTCCTCTTTCACTTGTAAGTGAGAGATCTTAGGTTTGATTTTCGCTAAAGGTGAATTGAAACAAAATTATTGTGGCCAACCCATTATTCGATCATAGTTAGATTAATTATTACCTAATATTCTCTATATATCGGCAAAAACAGAAATCATTGTAGTTGGTGTGTCAATATTGTTTGGTAAAATATATATCATAGCTAAAATAAAAATATTATGATGAAAAAAAAAAGAAGATAAAAAAAGATAATATATAAGATTCATCGATTGAATATTTCAGTTCTTTCAATCCTTACCTCATACCATTTGATTTCCCATTGCATTTGCAGCGCAGCTCCAGGAATTAGCCAAGGCTTATGTTCTCCCAACTTTCCTGCTAGATGTAATGCACTATTCCCTTCATGATCCACTTTACTGAACACGCTTTCTTTCAGGATATTTCTTTTCAGCAAGAGCATGTACACATGGGGTTGCCTGTATTCTACTGCCAGCAACACTATATTCTTTTTCTCTTTGTTCACATCGTGTATTGCCACTGGAAAAAGTTCAAGGATCTTGTCCACCATTTCAGTCACCCCATTTCTTGCAGCAATCAGTATTGGCGTTTCCGTGTTTACGCTTGGGGTTATATTCTCCGTCTTTTTATCTGCTGAGGACCCTAGAAATTATCAAGCCATTTGATGTATAACAAAAGGGCTTTTTCAACTTTAATCATTGAAGAAGATTTTAGTCCTTTAACATGTACTTAATTTGAATTTATATGCCACTTACTACCATAGTTTAGTGGTATTCATTTTCACTTGTAAGTGAAAGGTCTTAGGTTCGATTCTCGCCAAAAGAGGATTTAAACCACATTATTGCTTATTCTTTGTGAGACTTAGCATACTACCTCACCCCCTTAATTAGTATAGAAAATATCATTTATTTAAAAAAAATCAAATTGATATTATATTTTTGTTTTAATATTCAATGGATATCTTATTTAATGTCTCCACATTAAATTTTAATTTATTATTAGACACATTTTCATTCATTAATTTTGTTTAACTTTCTTTAGTTAGTGTACCTAAACGTCTGTACCAGAATATATTTTACTGACTAGTGTACTAAAATGTCCGTATCTAATATAGTATGATGCATTAGTGGTACATAAGAACATATACAAAAAACCAAAGTGTACAGAAAAATCCGTACCTAAACATATTATATTAAACTAGTATACTAAAATGTCCGTACCTAAATATATTATACTAAACTAGGGTACCAAAATGTCCGTACCTCAACATATTATACTAAACTAGTGTACGGAGTCCATACCTAAATATATTGTAAGTGGCACATAAGAAAATATGAAAAAACATACGGAAAATATGAAAAAACATAAATGTACTGAAAAGTCTCTATCAAAATATTTTCTTATATATGATACTTACAATGAATTGGTGATGCAAAATGTCAACAAATAAAAGTTAATTCATTTGAATTCAAATGAGTATTAAAATTTAATTACAATATTTTTCATAAAACTTAATTCATGGACACCATAAAATTATAAATTAAAAAAAAGACATTAAATGCATACGTAGACATTAAATCTAGTCTAGGGACCAAAATCAAATTTTAATCTTGTAGAAGACATTTTTCTAAACTCCATCTTATTTAAAAATTAAAATCTAGTTTTCTATATAATGGATAAGTAAGAGGATTGATGAGAAAATTTTCAATGTAAACATAACACAAGTCAATACGCTATAAATTATATCTTCACTTATATTATGACACGTGATATACTGACTTGTGTTAGGGGTACATAAAAATAAAAATTTTAGGAAGCATGAAAACCCAATTCTATTTTGGTCCGAAGTTTGCCAAGTGATCAACGGCTGTAATTTGTGTTGGAAATAAAAAGGAAAAGTATTTTAGGGATTTGATTTAATTAGTGGTTTTATATGATATAATTAGTGGTTTTATATGATATAATTAGTGATTTTATATGATTTAATTAAGATTTTAATTAAATTTGATTTGGTGTAGGTTTCTTTTCCCCTATCTTTCTTATCTGTGTAGACCCTTTAAACAACATATAATGATTAGATAAAGAAAATTATGTATCTAATAAGAGAGATTAGGAGATAAAATGAAAAGTGCATGGTTGTTTTATTACCTAAGCCAAGAGCAATCAGCATTTCCTTTGATAAAAGCTTCACAAACTCAGAGCAGGTGTTGTAGTTTACGGGAATCTTTTGGTCTCCTTGACCTTGATCAACAGTGGATTTTGACCCTGCATATGTTCAAGTTAATAATCTGCCGTCGTTCTGTATGTCTAGTTTTGTAATTTGAGTAAACACTAATCTGCTGCCACATGTATGTCAGAGATGAATTGTAATGTTGCTGCCCTATAGGCTATAGCCTTACCAACAGCATATATAAAATTTTATCTTTCACTTATGTTAGGTTTTAAGTTTGATTCTCGTCAAAGATAAAATTAAATCACATTATTATTAACCCATTGTAAGGTTAAGCCAACTCCATATTTCTTGGTGTAGCCCATTGTAAGATTAAACTCACTCTTTACTTCTTAGTGTAGATAATATTATTTGTTTAGAAGAAAAAAAAAAAAAATCTAAACCCCAAACCTTAATTTGCTTCCCTATATTTGGGAGGGTAGGGTAAGACAGGTCTAGGATTTCTACTCTTGTCAAATGTGACAAAATAATAATATTAGTATTGATTCCTGAAGGGACAGTACTTTCCTAAGAAAGAAAAGTCTTTATCAAAAATTATAACGGGATATCATTTCACCATATCAATGTAATAATTAAGCAATATTGTTCATATTCTTCAATCATGATCATCGCTAGAAAATTTATTTGATTTTGAGGTCGTTTCAAAGAAATTGATAGTTCATCTTGAAGAAAAAAAATATTTGTTATGATAATCATCAATTTTTTTAACACATAAGGATGATTTGATTTGGTTTAGGTTTCCTTGTCTTGTAGACAAAAGATTGTTTTGAATTATTTCCTAGTATTGCTAATTTGTAATCTTATAAATACCTCCTTATGAAAAAGAATAAAATATTGAAATTGTATTCGAGAATCATGAAATTGTAGAGAATTTTAAATTTATCCGAAACCCTTTATTTTCAACTTTTTGTTATCTGTAAATGTGACAAATTATGCATTGCCAATCATTGTGTCAGGTATTTTTTAGAATTTTATTATTTTCATATTTTGCTTTAAATTAGGATTAGGACTTTAGGATTTGAAGTAGTTAAGCTATTAGGGTTGTTACGATGGGTCACCATAAATTCTAATTAAGCAAGTCAAATAGCAGTTACCTTCTGGGGTTTTTTCTCTACCATTCTTTGGCTGCTCAGCCTCCTGTTGAGGAATAGGGACATCGAGGGCGCTATCGGAGGGCATAAGGACGGCGCCGCCATCAGCAATGTTATAAGGTGTGGTCTCATCATTGTCTTTTTCTTTCTGGGAAGGTGGTGCGGTGACGTGCGGAATCATACCACTGTCTTCATACTCATATATGACAGCTCGTGCTAAGAGTTCGGTCATGATCTGAACAGACCATTTGTGTTTTTCTTTCTTTTCCCTTGTCTTTCTTATCTCCGTAGACCCTTTAAACAACATATAATGATTAGATAAAGAAAATTATGTATCTAATTGAGAGAGATTAGGAGATAAAATGAAAAGTGCATGGTGGCTTTATTACCTAAGCCAAGAACAATCAGCAGTGCCTTTGATATAAGCTTGACAAACTCAAAGCAGGTGTTGTAGTTTCCGGGAAACTTTTTGTGTCCTTGACCTTGCTCACCATTGGATTTCGACCCTGCATATGTTAACGTTAATAATCTGCTGTCTTTTTGTACGTCTAGTTTGGTAATTTGCATTTTGATTTAAACTCTAATCTGCTGTCACATGTATGGCAGAGATGAATTGTAACGTTGTTGGCCTATAGCCTCGGCAGCTGTCCTATGTACTGGGAAAATTGTCCAAATCGTGAAAATCTTCTCTGCTCTCTGTTTTCTTTTCCTCTCTGCCTTTCGTTCATATCTTCATTTTTTCCTAATCTGTAGTTCTAGATTTGATTAGGTTGGAAGGTGGTCTGAATACCAACAGCAAATATAAAATTTTCTCGACAAACAAAGATTTTATAAACCCTAAACCCTAAACCCTAATTTGCTTCCCTATATTTGGGAGGGTAGGGTAAGAATAAGATAAGTCCAGGATTTCTACTCCTGTCAAATGTGACAAAAGAATAATATTAGTATTGATTCCTGAAGGGACAATACTTTCTGAAGAAAGGAAAGTCTCTATCCACCATCATAACGGGATATCATTTCACCGTAACATCATAATTAAGCCAAACTGTTCATGTTCTTTAATCATCATCATCGCTAGAAAAATCTATTTGATTTGGAGACCACTTCAAAGAAATTGATGGTTCATCTTGAAGAAGATATTTGTTATCATAATCGTCAAATTTTTGACACATATGAATATTATACGCTGGATCAAAAAAAATTTCTAGAACTGAACTTTAGATGATGATAAAGAAAATGAATGGTTTCTATTGTGACATTTGTACAGTGAAGGGGGAGAAGGAGGACTATTGCCCTTACCACAATGAGGAAGCTATTATATATATCCTTCTTGAAGCACATTATAATTGTTAGAAATTTAACTTTTCCAACAATAATGAAGTGTAAATGTAGAAAGGTTACACAGCATGCCTTCCTTAGAAGTTACCTGGATTTGAAGTGTTGAGAGTTTGCTTATTAGGTTCTATAGGGTTCTCTGGATCTGCTGATTTTATCTCTCCTCTCTGATCGATGGTGTTAGTCGTGTGAGTACTATTAGGTGCTTGGGGTTTCCCTGTCTCTGCTGATTGTGTTTCTTCTCTCTGATTGTCTTCGTTTTTGGTAACTGCAAAATGAATACCTACTTTTTAGTAGTGAGCATAAGGGAATTACATCGAACTATGAAGATAAAAAATTAAAGTCTAAATTATAATCACTTGGCTATGATTATACTTCTATGATTGCATCAAGTTTGCAGGAGAAATACTCGAACAATTGAGGTATTTGAGATATTTGATTTGAATTCCCCTACCAAGGCGAATTGCTTTCCTGAACAACCTAAGGAAGTTGATGCATGTCTGGTAGTTTTCTGGATGTTTGGGATTCTCTTCCTCTTTGAATGTCTTAATTATCCGCTCATTAGATCGTTTCCTTTGCTCCGCCTTGAGCTCATCAACATATATACCTGCCAAATTACCATATATATATACAAAGAATGAGTAGGGTGATACATGTAACTAGATTTCAATCTTGCCGATAATATTCTGTATAGTACTCACAGTGGTAAATAATTTCTTGGAATCGGCTGAGGTGGCTCCCGCTTTTGAAGGCAGAAGGCTTGGTAGCCAGAAGATGGAGAGGGGAAAAGCCTTGCGCATTGACAAAATTCACAAGATCTTTATACAAGTGAATTATCTGAAATGCCAAATCTGTCAACCAACAAGGTACACATTGTTATTTATTTTACATATCATAAGGGAGTATATATAGCTGGTATATATGCGTGTGCGTGTGTGTGTGTGTGTGGAAGTGATCAAGTTAAGGGCTAATTACCAAAGTGGTCCCCGGAAATTGCACAATGCAAGATGGTATCACCGTTATTCCTCCGACAATAATTGTAGCATTTCCGAGGAACCTCACCAGGGGTAGGGTTATAAATGTAGTGCATGCATAAGAAGGCATCTTTTTTACCATAGACAGCAGCCAAGAATAGAGGAGTCTCATTATCTACATTAAAAGTAGTGACCAAGGATGGATGAGCGTTGGCAAGGCACGAACACATTGTCTCGTTTCCCATCCATGCCGCGATGTGGAGAGGGGTATTCCCTTGCTTGTTTTGAATTTCAAGCTCCTTTACTTCAATCAGATCTACTAGCTCTTTAACATGTTTTTCTTGGCCGTCAGATACTGCTAGGTGTAGTGCTGTGTCACCTGACTTGGTGATTATTGCCCCGTGAGCATTCTTGTTGAGCCTATAGATTCTAACAACTGCTTCCCACTTGCTCCGCATGGCACTTTGGAACAAGTATCTCTTGATCGTCTCTGTGTCCATTTTCTTGATCTGCTCATCCGTGAAAGAATCCGCATCTATTATTGGGCACATTTCTTCTCTTCCTGATATGAGTGGCAATCAACACTGACGTTTGTCTTCATATATATTCTAGCAAGTAAATCATGTTTAACTTGTAAAGTAGCATAGTTTCCAAAAGAAGATACTTCTTCTGTGACCACAACTCTCTACTCTACCCTTTACACTTGCTAAATTACAAAGAAAATTCTCTTCGCCCTTTTTCTTTAATTTGTTACTTATCTCACCTTTACACTTGTTAGTTGTTACTCTATACCAACATCAAAAAGTTCACAACAGCTATTCCATACTCACTTCCCTTTTTGTTTTTCGGTTTCCAGCTGTGGACGTACATAAGAAAGTCACTCTTATCACCTAGCAAAAGATGACCCATAGATGTTGATTTTGGAATTACTTTATCACCTAGCACGTATTTGATGCTTCCTGAATTTACTTGGTGTACAATTTTCCAACAAGAGAAGTAACTGTTGGTGCTTCCTTTTCATTTCTTTTTCTCTTTTCCTTTAACTATGTCTTAAACTTGACTAAATATGCATCTAATCAAAATTTCCAAACCAGTACATCCGTGCCCATTTGTGAGCTGAGTTCAATTTTCTTAGTACCAATTATATTAGATAAAAAGCAAAAGAGCTAGAAAAGAAACCTAGTGCATGTTGCAAAAAAAGGGGCCTTAATAGAGGGATAAGAAGTACCAAGAAATGGCCATTTCCTGACGTTTTTTTTCCCGTGCAAGTGCTTTTTTATTGTAGACGCAAGTCGCTGATCATGATGTGATTATTAGGGATAGACAACGGTTATGGTGGGCGGGTAACCGTGATTATTTATCCATACCGTTTAAGCTTTTACCAGCATAACATTTTACCCATTTACCCGTTGTGTAGTTGCCCAAATGGTTATACCTATATCAATAACCGTTTATAAACGATTAACCATACCCATAACCACGTACCCATTTAACCGTGATCGTTTACCTGTTTATCTGTTTTTTAACCCATTTACCCTTTTTTCACCCATTTACCATTTTTTTTTACCCACATTTTTTATAACAACTTGAAAATTAAAAAAGTAAAATTTGTCATAATTTTCTTTTTTCTAACAATTAAACATCGTTATAGATACATTTAACATAATTTTCCGTATTTTAATCTTTTACCAATAATTGAAATAATATTTTACGACAGATATTTTTTAGTGATATCAATGAAAGTAATTTACAGTAATACAAATGATTGTAGCAAAATTTTGGCATTGGGGTTAAACCCCGCGCATCATAAAAAGGAAGATATCATGAACTGACCAAAACACTACCATCTGTGAGTAATTATCATAGAAACTACAGAATACAGACATAGAACGAATGCACGGAGCTGTGTGGAAAATAACCAAAATCAATCTCCATAAGTGTAAATCGAACAATATCAACAAACCACAATTATCCATCTACCATAATAACCATACTAATTTAACAATAACTCCTCCACTATTCAATACAACAAACAAAACTAGGGGAAAATATTCAGTCTAAATTCTTAAATGAATAGAATAAAAAAAAGATAATGTTAATGGGCAGCGAGGAGAGAGATGAGCGGCGGGAGTTTGGGTCGACAATTTAGAGTTTTTGGTTTTTTGTTTTTTTAAATTTTTTTATATATTAAAATAAACGGTTAAAGGGGCATCCGTTTATAATCGTGGGTAATAACCATAACGACCCATTTAAATTTCATTGGTAAATTGTTATACATATAACAGTTTATTTATTTAAACAGTTATCCATAACCATGACTGTGAGTTTTAAATGGACGGTTAACCACAGTTATCCATACTCGTGGGTATTTTACCCATCCCTAATGATTACGAACACGTCGAAAGCTGGCTGGTATCTTAGGGTTGGTTTGCGGCCGTCCTATTTGATGGCAACGGGAACATTGGTTGACCTGGCGGCTGGCGATGAGGGAGGCCGCAATGGAGGTGTTGGTGAACCATTCACCTCTTTTTTCTGTCAAAATATGGGTTTTGGTGAATATCTCTATACGGTTATTCCCTCTTTATTGTGTGGGGTGAAGTATTGTAGCATGTTGAGGTTTTTACAAACTGCAACCTCGTTTGTTATTGAAAGTAGAGGAGAATGATTTTTTTTATTTTAATGGATTAACATAAAGGAAACTTCTCACTTTTAATCCTATTATTTTGGGGAAAATTGGAATTTCATAAATTTTCTTCCTGCTTAGTCTATCTCCTACCTCCAAATTCGTCACAGTTTTTTCATTTCTACTTCAACATATATACCTTGAAAATGCTGTCTTATCCACCCAATCCCACTCTCTACCGATGAAGGCATGTCGGGAAAAACAATCCCACTCATCACGGCAATTGAAGAAACACTAACCATGAGACCACGGACGACTACGGAACAAACCTAAGTTGGAGGAGGTCTAATGGACCAATGTGTGGAGTTATATCTTAAAACGGTACATTACTTATTTTTTACGGTTAATTACCAATTTAGTTCTTTAACAATCACTAAGTGAAAATTAGGTCATTAAACTATTTTTTTTTTCGAAAAAATTAGTCCTTGAATTATAATAATTTGCCAATTACATCTCTAATATTATATTCGAAGCTACTATATCTAATTTTTCGTCGGTTTAAGTCACATTGTTTGCATGTGATACACATTGGAGGGTTGGATTGGTAATTTTCCATAAAGAAATAGTGTATGGAGTTAACTTTGAAGGGTAAATTAGATGTTAGATTCGCAACATATATAAAATGTTAAGACTTATAGGCGAGAAAATGATGGTATTACACTCTAAAGTGTGTCAAGTGACTTAAGTTGACGAAAAATTGAATAAAATAGCTTTGAATATAATAGTAGGGATGAAATCAACAATTTGTAAGTGATAGTTCATGAACTAACAATCTGTATTCGCCATCCATTGCACAATGCAAGATAGTCTCACCATCCGTCCTCCCACAGATCTTGTAGCGTTTCTGAGGTTCATCAAGGGTAGGCGTATAGATGTGGTGCAGGCATAAGATGACATCTTTCCTACCATGGAGAGCAGCCAAGAACAAAGGAGCCTCATTATCTTTGTTATGAACACCGACCAAAGATGGATAATCTTTGACAAGCACTTACTCATTCTCACATTCCCCATCGATGCTGCTAAGTGGAGAGGGGTATTTACTCTCTCATTTCGAGTTTGAAGCTCCTCTATAGTAATCAGTTTTACTAGTTTTTCAACATGTTCTTCTTGGCCATTGGACACTGCTACGTGCAATGATGTGTCACCTCTCATTGTGATCCTTGTCTTGTGAGCTTGATGCTCATGCGTATAAATTTGAACAACTTCTTTCCATTGGCTTTTCATGATGATTTTGAACAAGTATTTCTTGATGTCCTCCGTGTCAATGTTAGTCACGGTGTTCATGGTAAAAGCCATGTTTGTTAATCTCTTCCTACTATAGTTTACTGACAACTAACACCGATGTTTGTGTGCTGTGTCCCTATTATTTTCAACCCAGGCCCTAACTGGTAAATATCCTACAATTTTAGTTCTTACCAAAAGAAGACCTAAAGCTTGTTTTTGCAGCATATCTCTAAGATGGAGTCTACAAGACTTGGATCTCAAGTAAGCTTGTATGCTTCTGATTGCCCATATGGCCTTTTCATGTTGCTGGAATCTAGCAAGGGTTTAGTCCTTTTAATCACCCCAAAAGAAACAAGTTATAACTTTGGGGATATTTGGATCCTGTGTTAGGAGGAACTGATTTGGGGATGTGTCTGATTGTCCTTTGTTTTGCTTTGCAGGTATATTGTTTGGGACGGATGACAGTCCCTTATACACACATTACCCGGATAGTGGCCTTTTTTGTTGCAGTGCTATCCCTTTAACTGTTATTCCTTTTAATTTAGCTAGTTAGTAATATTTCTCTACACTTTACACTTCTCAACTTTTATGGCGAATTGTAAATTTAGTCATTGTTTGCCCTTTCCTTTTGGCCAGTTATCTCTACCCTTCACACTTTACTCTTACAATCAGAAGTACACCTGTTTCATAAATGTTCTCTGCTCTATGCATTTTGAGGTTACCAGCTGGACTAGAAAACCAAAGCTGCAAGGCATCTTAAATGATCATTTGATTCATCTTAGAACTGGACAAGAACTCCCACTTAGCTTCATTTTGGAATGACTGCTTTTTGCAATACAAGTATTGGATACTTTTTGTTAGCTTATTTTTTTATATGCCCCCTGAAACTCGAATTTAATTTCATTTTCCTGTGAAACAAAAATATCACAACTTTGCATTCTAAAACTTAATTTTTGCTCCACTTGACGAGATTGCGTCAATATTGTAAAAAAACTAACCGAATGTGATGACGTGGCAGGGTATTTTGCAAGCATGATATATAAAGTGCAACTTAAAAAAAAATATAGGATTCGGATCGTTAAAGTTCAATATGGAGTGAACTCCACAACTATTCCCCATATTTACCAAAAAAATGAGAATTCCTTTGGATAAAGCGCCGGTGAACTGAGCCTTTATCTAAAGGAATCTCGTTTAGAAAGGAAAAAAAAAAAAAAAAACAAGGACTAGTTATGGAGCCCATTATACATCAACATTGAACGATCCGAACAGTCTATTTTTTAAGTCTTTATCCATCGATCAACCTTGCAAAAAATCAATTCAATTAGAAACCATTTACTCATTTGATTGTCATGATGAAATTTTAATGTTTTTTAGAATATAATATTCGTTAATTTCTTTGAACTCAATTAGATTCCTCAAACATTTCCGATGTGACTAATACAATGCAAGAATGATCTATAAAGTGCAACTTAAAAAATAAACAGTTTAGATCGTTAAAATTCATTATGGAATAGACCCTACAACTAGTCCTCATTTTTACAAAAAAAAAAAAAAAAAAAAAAAAAGAAGAAGAGATCTACCTTTGGATAAAGGGCATGTATACATAAATAAAGCCTTCAGGAGTGGACACTGTGGGAACGCCGCTGTGGAATCTTTTTAAAAGCAGTCCACCGGATGAGATCAACATAGCC